GACAAGAAACAAAAAGCTTGTGAAATTTTCCAAAACCTTCCAATGATAAATTTTTTAAAGCAAATCCTCCAGAGGCAACATCTCTTAGTAGCACAATGTTTCCAAACCTGTATGTGTTTAAAGACTCTGACCCTTCTAGTGGTGAAACAAACATATCATTCCAAAATATGTAAATGTGTAAGACTAAATGATTATCCTACTCCTGGTGCTGTAAATAATGGGAGAAAAGATACGGGTATGTATGCAGGTAGATTCATTACCGATGCTGCACTGTAGTGCACTGTGTACAGTATATGAATTATTCTCCAGTCATAAGAAATACACAAGTTAATTTTCCATTTTATTGTTTTTATCATGAAACAATCAATTAGATGAAGCTTGTAAAACGTGTGGGTAAGGGATCTTAGTAAAAGTTATACTGGTAACTCTTTCACTGATAAAACATTCTTCTGACTGTTTCACTGTGTTGCTCACATAATGTACACTTGTTCTTGATTATTGTACATTGCAAGCTCTTATAAGCTATATTCAGCAGTTGAAATTCACATTTACAAAACTTTCCAATAGCAAAACAGATCCCTTTTCATCATTTTGAAACTTATTTACTTTTTTTAACAGGTTTTACTATTCTATAACAATATAATTAATAATATATACTGTATATAATCTAGAAAAATTGCTATCCCAAAACTCCTGTCTCCAAGATTTGACAAATAGTGCTACCATTTACCTAAGTAAAACAAATATTTTGAAAACATCATGTATCATAGTAACAGAAAATATTTTTTTACAAAGTAATTATAGTACAACCAAAGAAAGCTGGAAAAAATTATTACTTCTTGACAAGAAGTATTATACTGAACATGGAATGACGAGGTTTAAAGGCTCGGAAAAAATTGGTTGGTCAATAATCATTTTAGTTTAAGGACAAGACCAAATTTTTTAACCATTAAAATAGTTAACCATTTCTTAACCAATTCAGGTTAAGGCATATACTGTACACTCATGTTCTACAATTTAAAGCTTGTAGTGAAAGTGTTCTTCATTACATAAGTAGTCATACTCATACCATAACATCCAGGCATACTCAGTTTCAATGGACTTTGAAAAATTCAACATGAGGTTCTACATACCTAGTAAAGTAACATGTTCACTGATATTGTATAAGCTTGTATAAGACTAATGTGTTATTTACATGCTCACTGATATACAGTAATATTTCATGTTGTATACCTGCACTGAAAAATATTAAAGGATTGTGGATAACATCAAAATTCTATGACATTCTCCTAACACAAAGAATATCACCTAAAACAGAACATTTTCAACTCCTCTTCTAGTACTGCTGGAAAAATGCTTCGTATGTATGAGTATCACCTTTAGCGCTTCTATGACAGTAAGACCTTAATTACTGAACCTCTCAAGTAAGGCAAACATGCGTACCATAGGTAAAATATGTAGTTCTGGGTTGCTTATAGGTACAAGCAAACATAGAGCTCTAAATACAAGCAAACCTCATGAACCTTGACAGGTAAAGTCTTACAGGCTAAGCAGGAATGAAACACACTGTATCCATGCAGCTGATGTGTTCTGTGAAGTGAGACTTTAGTGAGAAGAACAATGTCTCTCATGGATGGCACATTTGAGAAAAAAAAACCACCCCATAAAATCAAATACCCCATAAATATTATGGCTTGAATATAAAGCCTGGTAAAACTATTTTTACATTTATATCAGTAATATTTAGTAACAAATATTTCACTGTATACTCATCATTATGATGACCCGATTTAAAAAACTAAACATATAGTTCACGGCTGTCAAAAAAATAATACATATTACTCTGTGTTGGCAGAAATTATTTATGTATTATTGAATACCTCTGATTTTTCTGTTCATTCTCTCAACCTTTCCTTGGTAAGTAAAGTTAAAATAAACATAACCAATTACACAGTACCAAATTCATGTCACTTATGTTCAAAGCTCAGGACCAACAGCCTGCATTCGACAGCCCTCTTTACATTAGAATAACAGCTTTTCTTAATGGGAAGTATAAACAAATTTAGGAATGGCTTGGATTCTACTTTCCATATACAACTTACAAGAATTTTAAAAAGAAAAGTAAGAATATTAACTACAGCTCAGAGGGTAATTCTCTAATTAATAAACACATCTATATACTGCTTCCTCCATGGATCATTCCTAATACCCACCTCATATGACAGGTCTTTAACATTCACAATCCTTACTACTAGTATTACTGCCCAGTAATTGAAAAAGTTCAGATTTTTTAATTGGTACTCTAGAACTTCAGGAACAATATTCATCCGTCAAATGCAGCCTATAATAATAATACCATTGCCAACCATTTTTATTCATCAATAATTCAGTTTATGTCATGCAGTCACAATACCAAGTAATTTAAATATATGCATACTATTTCCCTACAAATGCAAGATTTGAAAAATTCTATTGGCTACAAATAGCTTTTAACTAATACCTAACAAGGTTGCTAATATTGGTAAAATGTTAAAAAATAGGAATACACATCCATTTGGTGATTACTACAGTGAACATCCGTTTAGAATTGCTTAAAGCTCAAGTCAAGGGATAATACAAGCCAAAATTTATGCTGCATTCAAAATTAAAATATGATCTAAATCACAAACAATTATGAACACCTACACAGTACATCTTTACTTTATTTGGCAACAATATGTTGTAATGACAAAAGCTCACACTATATATACTCTACTAGAAGCTCAAATTTAGTGCTCTAAAAGTAGAAATATGTTAATTAAATTTTAAATAAAAATGCATTCTGACTTGAGCTTCAGCAAGCCATCGGAATTTTGTGCTACTGATGTGTGCATCAGTTGTAAACCCTGACTGTGAAGTCCTTACCGAAGTTTAGTAAAGGCTTGAATTTCAGATAATTTCATTATGGTTTACACCTTTAATATTTTAAAACAAGAGAGTTTAGCAAATTTGGGGAGTAAACCATCAAGAAATGTTTACTGAACCTCACAAGACATCTCATTTCTAGGGTCAAAAGGACTACTATAAAACATCAAGAATAGTAAACTCTTTAAATTAAAAACAAAATGAACACATGACACTATTACCGTTGAAAAATTGCACTTAGAAATTTATAAATTGTTGCGTAGATCAAAAAACACATACAGTACTTGCTCAGAGTTTTCCAAGTACCAACCAGACTTGGTTTGGCCATTTTAAAAGTCTAGAGGCAACAGCACTAATACAAAATTTGATTAACAGAGCGTCACTGCCCACGTGAATAAATATTCATGCTAAAATAAAATGTATATAAAATGTGTCATACCTTATAGGCAGAGTTGGAGGGGGGAAGGGTTGTACCTTCAAGAGAATGTGTCTAAATATCACAATAATGACATTTAAATAATAATGCAAGTTATTTAATGTTGGCCAAATTTTACACAAGTTAGGCAGAACCAAGGAAACAGCATAAAAAATATAGTTGGCCAAGCTAGCTTTGGTTAAAAATAAACAAAATGTGTTTGGTAAATTGAATGTATTAACAGACAAGAAAATATTAGTGAAAAAAATAATTATGTTAATATGGCAACTCTGCCTGAAAAGCATGGTTGTTGTTGTGTGTGTGTGTGTGTGTGTGTAATTAAATTAACCTAAGTGTAATTACAGGATGAGAGCTATGCTTGTGGTGTCCCATCTTCCCAGTACTCTTTGTCATATAACGCTTTGAAACTAATGATGGTTTTGGCCTCCACCACCACCTCACTTAGTCCAACTGTCTACCACTCTGTTTGCAAAATAAAACTTTCTAATATTTTTTTTGCATCTTTGTTTCCTTAGCTTGAATCTGTGACCTCTTGTTCTTGAAGTTACTGGTTTCAGGAATTCCAGTTTGTAAATTTAGTTGATTCCTGTTATTATTTTGTAAGTTGTGATTATATCACCTCTTTTTCTTCTATCATCTAGATTTGGCATACTTAACGCCTCTAGCCTCTCTTCAATAACTCTTGTTTTTCAGATCCAGAAGCTATTTTGTAACATGCCATTGCAACTTTTCCAGTTTATTGATGTGCTTTCTGAGATACGGACATCATACAACTGCTGCATGTATGTGTATGTGTGTGTGTTTTAATTATATATACAGAAAATATATATATATATATATATATATATATATATATATATATATATATATATACATATACATATACATATACATATATATATATATATATATATATATATATATATATATATATATATATATATATATATATATATGGAAATTCTGAGGAAATCGTACAGTTGCCATTTTCCTGAATATTTTCAAAATATCGTGTTACATGAAAGACAATAGATCCTTAGGTGGACAGAAGTGATTTTCCAACACCATAAAATTCAGAAATAGTTATGAAAGAAATTAAAATTTGCTAAGCTAAAATAACAATAGTTTTTATTCTTCCCAGCATACACAAAATCATTATGGTAAGAAACTAGTAACTGACAATTTGCCTGTCGTTCGAGTTCACCATTGTATTAAATAAATATTATTTTTTTATGAATTTAAAATATGCAGTAACACTGCTTTACTAAAGGATACCTTTTGGTATCCTTTAGTAAAGAATACCAAATCCTTTATCCTTTAGTAAAAGAATAAAGTATATCTTATGTTTACATAAGATACCTTTTGGTATCTTATGTAAACATCAGCACAATAAACTGAAGTTACTGCAGTCACATGTTCTTGATATGCTTCTAGTAATGTATCAGATTTTGGGATCCATATCCACAACTCGACTAGTTTCCAAGCTGTCAGTTATACTAATTTGCTGGGAATAATTTGAGTTACAGTATCAAATTTGAGTGTTTCTTTTATGGCATCACTCCTATACCACATGCAAAGATTTGTTTATAAATTGGAATACTACTAAAGACTGCAAGTTAAAAATATCTGCAATTATTATACAAAAATAACTATTAGACTCTAGAATCAATCACAAGTAGAAGATGCTAAAGCCTTCTATATAGGCTACTTGCTGAGCCACAGTCAAAGCCTGAATAAGAACCTAGAAACCAGAAGAACCAAAGATGTCAGCTTGATAAACTTCTGAAATTCAGTTGGCATTTGTACAAGACTTAACTTTTGCATTGAAACTGCAAGACAGAGTCTTTTGAAATGCAAACAAGAACTGAAGACAGCCTAACCACATCACATTTCTTATGAAAAATCAAAGCAGTGAACTGAAGAATAACTAGTGGGCATTTTCACTGGGTGCTTTGGTGTTGGCGTTGGTGTCACTGGACTCGCTCTCCTTTTTCTCACGCTGAGTGCTCATTGCCAATAGCCTCATTTGGCGGATCACGGCTGTTGCGTGGTAGGCTTGCTGTAAATAAACAAGTTTGAAGCATGAAATGACATTGATAAATTGTTTTAAAATAACTTACTGTTTTCCTAATTGATGGTTTACATTTTTTTTCTGAAAATGCAGAACAATTCTTTCAAAAACAAAGCACATTCCATCCAGCAAAGTTTTGGTAATGCTTTCAGCAAATTATGTCTTGTGTATAATTGATGCACTACTGAATGCTTAATAGCAGAGATTCAAATAAATTAAAATACAGGTATTTGCTATTTACCGAACACCTGCTGCTTTTAACATTGGATGGCATCACATTCAGTATAAGTCAAACTGTGGTCATTCAACAACTTGTTAAACGCTACACAACTTTGAATTAAGCAATACAAATTTGCTATTGCAAACGAGAGGCAAACAAAATGTTTTATACTCCAATAATGAGAATACCGAGAAACACGAGACCATACAGTATTTGGTTTAACCACATATGAATTTATTCCACATTTACAGAGTTTTTCAGGCAAATAATTGTATAACTCTGCTTTCTTATAATGTATCATGAATTTCTTCACTGTGCACAGACTATCACACCAAACTGTGTATTGTACTTTTAAAATCATTTTTATGTAGAAAATATTTTTACCATTTACCATAGTAACAATATTTACCAGTAACAAACCGGTATATGTATATAGTGAGTGAGGACCTCATTTATTTTTATTAAAAGTTACACAGGGCATAAATCAAAGGGCACAGGTCAAGGTATTTATATAATAAAGTGTATAGCACATATAATTCAACAAATTTGTTATCACATATTGTACATGCATGCATGTGTATTTGTTCATTTTTACTGGCAACAAAATAATAATGGCAAAATAATAATAATGGTATTATTAACTAGGAATTATTATCTCCCACAAGGCATGGCAACTTAGAATTATTATAATTTTTTTGGTCTGGCTGAAACTGTCTAGAAACCTTTTCATTTATTTGTCTAGAAACAAATAAATGAAATGGTTACACACAGAAATCACAATAGCGTGATGCATCAAATGGACAAATCCACAAGGGTCATGACGAGGGTTCGAACCTACGTTCAAGAGGATCCCAGACGCTGCCTTAATTGACTGAGCTACGACATGGTTAAAAGAATAGCAACCGGGAAAAATGATGATTTCCCAGTTGATTTCTTGGTTGCAATTCTTTTAACCATGTCGCAGCTCAGTCGATTAAGGCAGCGTTTGGGATCCTCTCGGACGTAGGTTTGAACCCTCATCACTGTCCTTGTGGATTTGTTCAAATGAAATGGTGTACAATAAAAAGAATAAACTAATTTTGGCCTTATATTCAATTATGCCCAAAAATTTTCCATATCAGCCTTTAAGTTCCAAGCTTTCTACTGTGTTTAGTCAAGAGCTATCCTATTTAGACCAAGTTATCACTTATGACAATCTGTTCAGGCTCGCATAAAACAAACACATGCAATAAACTGGTTTTATAGGATAAAAACCCACACTCGTGTATATGTGAAATTTATGTAAAGAATTATGTTTATGTAAGATGAAAATTCCTTACATAAATTTCACATATAGACAAGTGTTGGTTTTTATCCTATATTATTACGTCTGTGAGAAGACATTACCATTACTGGTTACAGTATAAAAAATGATTCCTTCTTGAAAGGTATGAGGATGTATATTAGTTTGTGTAATTATTATAATATACAAGGTACTGTACTTTAGTTATCTTATTATTCCAAGGACTAAAAATACTGAAATATAAGCTATAATATGAAGATATGACAATACTGTACTGCAGTTAATCTGTAGACAACGTTAAAGGATTAAAAAATGACTTGTTTGAAAGTCATTAAATTCGGATTAAAACATTACAGGTTAATAATTTGTAATTATGATATCATTGAAAAATAAGATCCCAAGTATCCAAGAGTTCCTATACATAAATGAATGCAATTTGACTTTTGGTAAATAACTGATGCAAAGATTTCATCTCATTTTCCATAGCTGTTATGAGTTGATAATTTAAAAAGAGTTCCCATTAATGGAAACTTACACCAACAGAATGAAGAAAAATATCACAGCTAATAACCACTAATGGTGTGTATAACACAGGTGTAAATTGTTTCTGTAATATTTTATTTTATTTCAACAACTGGCTTTCCCTTTCAACAGTTTGCTATACAGTATTCTTTTAGTCCAGGATGAGAAGCAGGCATTTTTAGCCAAGACAACCTCATCAGTCATTATGACCCACATAGCCATGACAACCTGATCAGCCATTACGACCCACATAGCCAGGACAACCTGATCAGCCATTACGACCCACATAGCCAGGACAACCTGATCAGTCATTACGACCCACATAGCCAGGACAACCTGATCAGTCATTACGACCCACATAGCCAGGACAATCTGATCAGCCATTACGACCCACATAGCCAGGACAACCTGATCAGCCATTACGACCCACATAGCCATGACAACCTGATCAACCATTACGACCCACTTAGCCACGACAACCTGATCAGCCATTACGACCCACATAGCCACAACAACCTGATCAGTCATTATGACCCACATAGCCACGACACCCTGATCAGTCATTACAACCCACATAGCCAGGACAACCTGCCTCGTCAGGCACAAGAATTTATTTACTTTTTCTGCATGGAGGCCTCTTGGCGCCTTCTTACTAACCCTTTAATATAGCAATGTTCTTCCTGATTAACTGGCATGTGATAAGGATATTCTGAAGGAGTATCTCTCTTGTTTTTGTTTTTTAATCTTCATAGTCAAATGGTTGTCAAGGTTTTATTGTGTAAATCCTGATGTAACGATTCAGTGTCATGAGCTTTTATATCATCAGCTATAACTTGGTTGTATTCTACTTTAAAAAATATTATTGTGACTTTTGTCTTTATTTTACTTCTTGTATGTTTTAAAAGGCTTTGGTGTTTTCTTTGTTTTGTACTTATTTTATTTCAAGGTCTCCTTTTGACTGATCTGATTTCCTGTATGCTTTCATTGAATGTCTTTTTGTATGCCACATACTCCCGAGTGATTCCTGATGATTCAATTCTTCTTCTTCCAAGGATTGAATTTGGATGTTATAGCTCTTCTTCAGTGATTTTTATCACCTAACTGTAGTAATTTTCTCTCTCCTTTCCTTGCTGTATGTCTTTATCTTTGTGAAGTTATAAGTATGGACTCATTGTTCCTATGCCAAGCTCTACCAAACTGTTGAGAAAAGAAATTCAGATCTATGAGAACACAACCCCAAACAAAGACACAGAGACAACAGGAGCTAACCCAGAATGCCCAGAAACAGCTACAACTTGGGCAGGACCCCAATATCAAGAGAGGTCTCAGCTTGCCCAGTCAAACTTCACACAATCACGAGTGGGAAAAGGAGAAACGTGGGCCAAAGAGGAAGTCCTAAAAATCCAAGCCAAAATATCACAAACTGCAGAGCTCCCAATCCAGGCAGGAAACTGAGGAGGACAAGGGACACACACCTTAACTCAAAAACAAGGGCAATGTCTGACACCCAATTCATTTAAGCAGCACATTTAAGGGCCAAAATAGCACTAATGGTAAAAAACAGATGATGCCAGAGTTGTATCCACAGAAGTACCTGATAGACAAGCAACACTGAATTGAGGAACACCTACAAAAATTGAAGGAAAAATATTGAATGCACCCAAAGGTAATGGCAAATACGAGACAGCATTAGAAGGACACTTGAACCCCCGGAGAGTTGGGGAACCTGGGATGGAATCCCAGAAGCCACCGTAGAGGAGAGACCCATACAACCATAAAACAGGACAGTCCTAGGCCAAACTGAAATGACAATACTCAGCACAGAAGAATACTCATAAACAGCCATCCTCCAAGCAAGTTGGACAACACTAAGACTCCAGAAGAGGAAGAATGGCAGCAAGACATGTATGGAATAGAAAGAAGGAAATGGTCCCAACTGAAATGTCATAATGCTCAACCCCGAAGAGTAACTGTCAGGGAAACACAGGCACAAACACAAAACTTTGTGGAGCAGAGCCTCAACATATCAAAACAGGAGGAGAAAATGCCCCAGAACATGGCTGCTACACCACAATGTGCAGGTGAAGGCAACACGACTAGTTAGCAAGGTACCTAAGACCCCATAAGGCCACAACATTGAGTGCAACATATCACTGGCCCATAACCAAAATCACAGTGCATGACCAACCAAGCCTCTCCCAAAGAGCAGGAATGGAAAGGAAACTGCCCCACAGGTCTGGAAAAACTGTGCAACATAAATGGGGTAAAGCCAAATATGCAGCACCCCCAAAGGGTCATTACCCATAAAGAACAGTGCCTCAATGGCCACTGCATAAAAGGGCTGAAACTCAATTAGGCAGTGCTACAAAGTTTTATTATCAATAGGAACAGAACATTAGGGCCATTACAGCAATTCATTGCTGTAAATGACTGAAAAAGAAAAGCACAACATTACCCCAGCTAAAAAAAGAAAAGAAAAAATACAGCTCACCAATAAATGAGACTTAAAACTGCTCAGCATCCCAAAGGCATGCCAAAAGGGTTGCCACTCTGACAGCCTGAAGCCCAACTCATTTTCAAGAAGGAAAAGTGAGCGAGAAATGAATTTAAACCATGAGCAGCATCTTAACCAATGACATAAGCGAACAAACTCCAAAGCACCCACTAAGATTGAGCACCCACCCGGCCCACACTGAGTACAGCATACAGAATAAAGTGCAAGTGCAATAACATAAAAAGATTCTCTAATTAAATATATGAGGTTCTCAGCACTCTATACATAAAATTGCAACAAATAAGACTGTGGGGTTTTATGACATTTGAACAGAAATTGTATTCATTCAGTAGTTTCCTTGATATATAATATTCCTCATAGAGAAATTGAACTAACGACTGAAATAATGCATGTTTTCAGAAGTTGGTCAGTGTAACATGGAGACAACAGATAAGACTAGGATACTCTAC